ATGAAGGTCGTTCGAAGACAAAGGAAACCCGAAAAAGTTAGATCGACATCATCATACTTCGAACATTCCTTTCTTCTCTAACTTGATTAGATACACATGACATCGGTGGTTCTTTATTTCGGGAATAAAGCGAGCTTACTTGAAATAGCATAAGATAAGAAAAAGACACCAGGTGAGACAAGGAGAGAATCATCATGAATCGAACAAAAGCAGTTTCGCACCTTTTTTCTTAGAGCAACTCTACGTATAAGATCTGTCTTCTTCACGATGTTAATTCTTCAGATCACACCAACCAGTCACACACCCAAAAAACAAATCCTCAAAAAAAATTCAAACAAATTCTCAATCCACGCTTTGCATCATGCATTACCAAACCCTTCTCGTCGCGCTCTTCGCCACTGCCGCTTTAGCCAAAGACCCTTGGGTGAGCTCATTCTACAACGCTGACTGCACCAGCAACGGCGCCGGCGACGCCGTTAACATTGAGGTGGACGACTGCGTTCCATTTGACTCAAAGTACGACGCCGTCGCGGTCAACTTTGGCACCGACCTTGAGGAAATGACATCTTTGAATGTATACTCGGACGCCAGCTGCACGGTTTTTGCGGGGCCATCTATTACCTCCAGCTTGGCGGATGATACCCCACAGCAATGTATCAGTCAAAGCAAACACGGAGCAAAGTGGGGAAGTGTTCAGAGAGCGCCCTCCTCCAATTAGCGATGGGTAGCATGTCGAGCTGTTGTGTTTCTTCCTTCGCGTCTTTTTGTGCGTGTCTTTTTGGGGACCATGCTGTAATGGGACTCGTCACACTCCTTTGGCTGGTAGTTCTGAGCAGAAAAGCATTCGCTACACTCTTTACGGCTAAGCACTACATGTAAAACAAAACAGATATATCAACGCTTTGAGAAAGATAAATGTGAGCAAATCGCTTTTCGATGATGACTAATGTGAGTTGAAGAATAGATATAATGTCACCCTCCAAGTCGATACAGTACCTGTCATTGTCACAGATACCTCCAACAGTCAGCAAGATTTTTAAGGATGCAGGATTGGCGCTTATGGCTATACAATACCAGTGCTATAAGGTCCCTGTGCATATAAAATACTATTTCAAATGAGGGAAAGTCTCCTAACTAGATTGTGAAGTATATGTTAGAGATATGCCAAATAAATCGATATAATATAGGGTGCCTTGATACCCCACGTGAGTGTGCTTCGTAGAGGATTGCTATAGCCTACGGTAAACATGAGCATCAGAGTAGTCTTGTGGCCGGAGGGACCATTCTCATCACTCCACCGTCCTACTTTCGGGATTCTCAATCGCTCTTTTCGTCTATTTTTTTCCGTCAATGATCTTGCTACCTGGTTCATAATAGATTCAGTGCGTTTATTTGCGGAAAAGACTGGGCACGCTTCACATAAGGCCTCAAGCACGTTTGCACGTAAGGACCGTATATAGTGCATCGAAATCAAAGTAGACCGCTTTGAAGATATCGCCGCTTCTAACATAACAAAGCAGAATGTTGTTGCAAGCTTACATGGAACGTATGTAGTCTCTCTATTCGTGCACATAAGTAACGTCGACGGGCTTCGGAGTTGGATGCGAGCAACAGGGCGAAATCTTATGGTGAAGAGTAGAAGAGCAGCAGTCTGGCAGCACCCGAAAATGCACGTCGTGAGGAGACTCAACCTTCCAACGGTGATCTGATATGGCTATTGCATCTGAAATCCTTCATTTGGAAACATCTAGCTGGTGCAGTAAGTCCTTATGGGCAAAGATCTAGAAGGCTGGTCCAAAGTCCAAAAGTGCAACGTCTATCATTGTTGTTTATCTGCTGTCCAGTCATAATATCGTGAAAACATTCATCTCACGAATATGGCATTGCTGATCTTAGAGAACTTTGGAAAACACGTCGCTGCTTCGCATGTGTAATTCCCTTGATGCACATCCTTCCATGTAGTCATAAATTGTTATCGTGATTGCCGTACTAGACCCAAGGTTGTTGAGTGCGCCTTCCCCAAGCATTACAAGGAACTTGTTGGCGTCCCTCGCCACTAAAATCCAAAGAGTTTAATTCACTGATCGTGAACATGCCCTAGAAGACTCATTATGGCCCATGACATCCGTACTTTGGAATTCATCTAGTACTCTGCTCTTGTCCCCCTTCTTCTCCACGGGATCTTTCCTGTACGGTTGATATATTGCTTCGAGCATTGCTGGCACCATCCAAGCACAATGCTAACAGCCAGACTGGTTAAACAAGGCAGAGAGGTTGTTACCAAGGACGCTAATACCATTCCCGCTCAGGCAATGTCGTTTCCGAGCTGTAGCCAATGTTCTGCTCCTCTTCCCACTGCCCTACAATCATTGTCCAGTCTCCCATACCCCTAGAATACCTATTGGGATGCTCCTCTCACAAGAGTCATACTCCAATGGGCAATGGTCTGTGGCTTTGTCAAATTTATGAGTCTGCCGCTCCTACATATGTTCTAGCGCAAAAAATCTCGTGGAAATCTCTGATCTATGGGCATGCCACTATGGGTGTGAGCCGTATATATTAACATTGTTGAAGGCATTGCAAGCTGAAAGGGATGATGTTGAAAATTATAGAAGGCAAAATTCCCAAGACGATAGAGTCTCTCAGACAACGACCACTCATTCAGCATTGCAGAGTGCTGTGCTGAATTGCAGATATCTATCATACCTTATCGGCAGACATGAAGGTCAGAGGATAAGGACTGTTATGCTTTAACGACTATGTGCCTGTTCTTCTTGATGAATGTCGGCCGAGAACGTCGCAAGCATCAGAGAAGAGGATCCCTTTGCCAACTGGGCAGTTCGAGCCCTGGTGCGGCTGGACGAATAATCTGAAGGATTGTTGTCGTTCATACGCCTTCGGAGCACGGAGCTTTGCATCGAGACTAGCCCCTTATATTTTTCTTCTCGGTATGTGAGCCAGGTAATCTTCCATCTTGAAGCATTTAACTTCCAAAGTCGTATACACTGCACTGGTTAGGAGCGCCCCAGCACAAACTCTGACTGCATTCGCAGGTCTTCTCCAGGGTTTCCGTGACTTGTACTCCCGTTGGCCCGAAGGGGATCATTCCATATTTGACCGAATAGGTGTAGGTTGTTGTGTTGGACTTGGACTGCCGCGAAGATGATGAGACGGCTTGCTTTTATAGTTGAGATTAGGATTGGTCTGTCACACTTACCGACGGCATGGATTAGGAAGGGTGATCGTTTGAGATACTCTGCCTCTTCCCAAGCCGACAAGATAGATGATGTATTTAGGCAAGCTCGATATAGGATATTCTGTTATATTGCAAACCCAAGGGAGGGAAGACAGTCAGTAATGCGAGGGCATTATGTCCTCCTTAAATAAATTTTTGTGATTCCGGCTTTAGGCTACCAAAACTTGGGCTGCGAAGCCTTATGCGTCATGTTGCCTCATTCTGCCTCGTTGCACTTACAAAAGGCTGCAGTGTGTCTATCATTGATATTAGTAATTGTTGTCCAGCTCGCTTACCGCAGCCCTTATATAACACAACCCAAACATGTAGAACCACGTCGGATTAACGCCTGATTCTGCAGGATTCTGCCTCGCTGTCTTTATATAAGGCTGCAGTGTGTCTATCTTAGATATTAGTCAACGTTACTCAGCTCGCCTCACGCAGCCCTTATATGTAATACGAACCAATTATGTAGAAACGTGTCGCACCGATGTCGTCTCGATGTCTTTCTGCGTTGTCTCAACGATCGTAACTGCTTTGATAGTATTGGATTTGATGGAAGGTTGAAGGATTGATTAGCTATGGAGTGGTATGTAGGCTACTTAAATACCATGTGAAGCCCATGCTAATTTGCCACCTGCGGGGTAGCTACAACACACTATGGTGCTGCAGCAGATTCCAACAGATAGGATGCGAGATGGCTTGTCCGCCCTGCTCACTTACTGGCTGAAACGAGTCGAACGACGTTGAGAGGGTTGGAGAAAGCCGACCTTACTGCTTACTTGCGTCGACAGCTTCCACACAATGCCGGTCACTATCCTATTACCGCCTCTGCATCTTTTAAAAGGCTGTTATGTTCTCGAGTTGTGAACACTGTCTTTGTTAGGCAGAGATTATTTTGATAACGGAGCGGAGATCGTATGGCGCAATCTTAGGATCATACCGGAGAGGGTGGTGACCTACTTCATTGGATGAGGATCTGTAATCGACAAAGACTGATGATGCTGCCAGTGTTGAGTAGTGAAGTGGGTGGGAAACGAAGCCTCAACAGCGTCTTCCCTGAGGAGACTCTCCTTTAGCAATCTTACAGTGGATCTAAGACCCCCGAAGACTCTCGACTCCAACTCCCATTCCGTTCACCTTCACCATCCCATACACCAAACCTCCCACGCTTGTACCCCTCAACGCTTCCTCCTCAGAAAGTTGACAGTCTTCGCCAGCAAACTCCCTCCAACGGTAAGGGATAGCATGATAGCGAACAAAGTGTCCTACAACACCATGTCACTCTTGAGCATTTTGAGGACTTCGACAGGAATTGGTTAGCTTGGAGATCTCCGACTTGTTGTCGAAGTGGTAATCTGGCGCGGACGTGCCTTTTGTAGAGCAGCACGCACATTTTGTCAGACGTGTTGAGTCTCGATCGGTGGAGTGGAAATTTATTTCCCTTTAGCCCCGTGTGTAAACTTTGTATCAAATCCTAACAACACTCGAGTCTATCATTCTTCATTCGACTCTCGTGCGTTGATTGTCGACTTTCTTGCTAGACACTGTCAGGTGAAATCATCCACCAGATGAATCAAGAACTTCTGTTTGGTTAGCGCAGCTGGTAATAAAGTATACTCATTTGTCGGCTTGCTGCGCCAAGCCCTCGCAGTTGATTCCCTCGTCAAGCCCGAGCACTCAATGTCGCACCAGATGAGGTATCAGATACCATGATCTGGCTGGCAAACCAGCAGATGCTAGCATCTGATCATCGAGTTCCAGGATGAACACCATCCGCGAGATTCAGAATCTCAACAAGCGCGAGCTTGAGAATGGAGTGTATATCCACCGCGCTCTCGCCTTGTGAAAAGCCTGCAGTATACTGACTTTTTCTTCTTCTCCAGTTCTACGGAAGCATCCTGGCATGCCGATTATAGGTAAATTCAACCCTCCACCCTCAGCAACACGAAACCAGTAGCTAACATTGAGCAGAGATACGGCCTACGTCTACATAGGCGGCCTCCCTTTCGACCTCTCAGAAGGCGACATCCTGACTATCTTCTCCCAATTCGGCGAACCGACCTACATCAACCTCATCCGCGACAAAGAGTCAGGGAAAAGCAAAGGTTTCGCCTTCCTGAAATACGAAGACCAACGCTCGACAGACCTCGCGGTGGATAATCTAGGCGGTGCCAGCGTCATGGGAAGGGTGTTGAAGGTAGACCATACGAGATATAAGCGAAAAGATGGCGAGGAGGAAGAGGAGCGGGAGAGAGGCTTACAAGGTGGGCCGGCCGGCCAGGAGAGCGATGAGGTGAGCGAGCAAGAGACAAGACCGATGATCAAGGAAGAACTCGAGCTGCAGAAATTGCTAAGAGATCATGATGACGATGATCCGATGAAGGAGTACCTGGTGCAGGAGAAGAGAGAAGAGGTTGCGCGGGCGGTGGGGAGGATCAAAGATGGGGGAAAAGAGGGTAAGAGGAAGAAAGAGCATGAGCATAGACATCATCATCGCAGTGACCGACATGGTCATCGGGGGAGACGGAGGAGCGATGCGGATGGGGAGAAGGAGGATCGCCGCAGACCGGGCTATGGTGATGGGCATCGTCATGGTCATAGGCGGAGGTCGAGAAGTCCTTGAACAGCCACATTATCATGAAAGATACTACGGCTATGGCCATTTGAATATGCTTCTACGCCTCGACATGCATGACTCTACTCTATGGGATGAAGCCGGTGGCCACTTCGGCTGCTATAGTTTTCAAACGAAAAGCCGTTGTCTGTGCGCGAGGGCAGCATGGGCCGGTCTTCTCGCGTCAACAATTTCCAGAAGCTCTCGAACATGGAGACTGCGAACTATGCAGACGGAGCACGGACGAAAAAAGCAAGCTGTAGTCCCAATCGAGGGGTTGCATTGGGATCTATTGTCTGAATCCAGAGTGTCTACCAGCAGGGGTTATCCCTCCGTTCACAAGACCAGTAAATATGGTACATGGCGCCATGCATATCAAGATGTCCAAGCCATCATCTTTCCAACTCCGCATGCCATTTGCTCGTGTTTCGTGAACGTTCATATCCTTATAGTCACAGTCCCGTCAGTTCTTCCCCAAATATCTCTTCCATCCATTCCTGACGAGATGCCTCCTGCCGTCCTCTCCTTCCCCTAAAATGAACTTTTCCCATCGCCCGTCTCTCCCAGCGCCAATGACAAGGATCGTGTAATCATCTCTCCACCCTATGACACCCTTCCTTGCTTTGCCACCGGGTATGCCTGGTATTGGCATCGCTACCCTCTTCCCAAGGTCTGTCTGAGGATCATCGTCGGTCTCGAAATGGGCGGACGTGAATGAGTAGACATCTGAAAAAACCCGAGGTAGCAGCGGAATCTTACCCAAAATGCCCCATTTCTGCTTGTTCCCTTCATCTGCACTGCCAGTGGCGGAGGAACTGTTGGAGTTACGATGCGGTCTGTTCGATATCATCGAGCCATTGCGAGACCGACCTAGAGAGGGCAGGTCGAAGATGTGCATGGTTGATTTGTCCGAGGTGACGGCCAAGAGAGCACTGTTTGGTGATATGGCGATGGAGTAGATGACCGCAGGGTCTACCCCTCTGCGCAGTTCTCCGATGCGAGTGCAATTGGCGGCTGAGAATACCCGTACCAGCGTCCCAGTCTCACTTGCAGTTGTCACTATTTCTCCATCAGGACTGAGTTCCAGAGCCCTTAGTGGCGTGCTATGAGCTGGTATGATGCTAACGTTTCCGTTACCAATCTCCACGAGCTGTACCTGTCCTGGTGTACGTCCTGGGAAGGCTATGATCTTAGACCCAAGGCAACAGAGCCCCGTCGGATTGTCTGCGGTCTCGAAGACTGATAGTTTTTCCGGTGGGGAAGAGAAAGCATAGAGGTGTACGCTGTTCTGAAGAGCCACCACGATGCGGGATTTGGAAAGCCTTACGCGATGGACCTGGGAGCGGAACTCGAGGGTGAAGATGGCTTTTTTCTTGGCATCATCCCACAATATCACCTACACGAGCGATCTTGAGATTGGTGTCATTGTCAAGTGAGCTCGCTATGCGGAGTCTTACCGACCTTGTTCTGTGGGAACTTTGGCTGCCTTCCTCCTCCAACTATTGCGATGTAATTGGCTCGTCCAAGCATCTCCGCCACTCCGATCCCCGCATTGAAATCTGTGGCCTCGATGTCAACCATGATAGACTGAGTGTATGACCTACTCGCCTGATCATCGTACCTTGAGAGACCTGGAGCTCGCATGGTTCTGATCTGAAAACTGAAGAGACCCAATTCAGCAAGAGCTTTTTGAATGAGACAACAGATAGTTACTCGAGACTCACCACAGAAGCCACTGTCGAGTCCGACGGAGAAGCAGCTATTGTCCTGGTTGAAGGCAACGGAAAGAGACACAGGCCCTGTAGAGTCGTCGATTGCTGGCCGGGTATTCATGGCCGGTGCTTTGATAGATTTATGGCGGTAGACGCCCAAGGTGAGTCAGGTAGCCGCTCCAAAAGCAGGTCATGAATATGAAGGTACAAGGTAACCATATTGTATCACGCATTTAAGAGTCATGGCGCGCGGAGATGAATAGGTGATATTGGAACTTGGCGGGGGCCCCATAGTTCGCCAGGACGCTAGTAAACGCTCGCAGCTTCAATTGCGCTAAGAACCCCCTTTAGCAAATTTCTGGGCAGGTACTTCCTAAACTCAAACACTGAAGCATTCCAGCACATTGTCACCTCACATTCCTCATCTGAGACAACAGTCCAAGCACTTGATATAGACCCTCAGGATGTCGTCCAACTTGAACGCGGTAAATGTCCAACCAATTGCTTCACGAGCACCGGCGAAGCATTGTTATGCTAAAGAGGAAATCACAGATCAAGATGCGTCGTAAGAAAAACGTGAAGAAGGGTATCCAATTTTGCCTGATGGTCTGCGGTGCTTCGGGGACAGGTACAGCTTACTTGAACGGTAACTACCCAGGGAATATATATTAATTCATGCCGCCAGGACGTACTACCTTCGTTAATACATTATGCGGAAAGCGTGTTCTACAAAGCAAAGACACCGACGATGATCCAGAGCGTGCTCATATCGAGGATGGCGTTAGAATCAAGCCGATCACGGTTGAGCTGGAGCTTGATGAGGAAGGCACCCGCATATCTTTGACCATAGTGGATACACCTGGATTCGGTGACCAGATTGACAACGAAGCGAGCTTTTCGGAGATCGTGGGACATCTTGAACGACAATACGATGACATCCTGGCTGAGGAGTCACGCATCAAGCGTAATCCCAGGTTCAGGGACAATCGTGTGCATGCTCTGCTCTACTTCATTACTCCAACGGGCCATGGGTATGAAAACTTTACGCAGCAGCGTCTATATCGTCATTAACATTTGCAATAGTCTCCGCGAACTGGACATCGAGTTGATGAAGCGCCTTTCACCGCGTGTCAACGTCATCCCCGTTATTGGCAAAGCAGATTCGCTCACCCCAGCTGAGCTTGCTGAGTCGAAGAAGCTGGTCATGGAAGACATCGAACACTACCGCATACCCGTCTACAATTTCCCCTACGATATCGAAGAGGATGATGAAGATACTGTTGAAGAGAACGCAGAGTTACGGGGCTTGATGCCTTTCGCTATTGTAGGCTCTGAGGAGGTGGTTGAAATTGGAGGACGACGTGTACGAGCAAGACAATACCCATGGGGTGTGGTCGAGATCGATAATCCACGCCACTCCGATTTCCTCGCTATTAGAAGCGCACTTTTGCATAGCCATCTGGCGGATTTGAAGGAGATCACTCACGACTTCCTCTATGAGAATTACCGGACGGAGAAACTCAGCAAGAGCGTTGATGGGGGTTCTGTGTATGTTCTGGCCATTCAACCTGACCGATACTAGAGCGGCAGCTAATGTAATTTACAGTGACTCCTCGCTAAACCCGGACGATCTGGCCTCCCAGTCTGTACGCCTTAAGGAGGAGCAACTACGTCGCGAGGAAGAGAAGCTTCGAGAGATTGAGATCAAGGTGCAACGAGAGATCAATGAGAAGAGACAGGAGTTGTTGGCACGTGAGAGCCAGTTGAGAGAGGCTGAAGGTCGCATGACGAGAGAACAGAGCACCGCCATTGACGACACGAATGGCGGCATGGCTTAGGAAATGGTCCGGGCAAGACGTGGATATTGGGGAATCGAGACAGGCCATGGCGTGGGCTTGGAAAGATGAGACCGAGCCTTGAGCATCCGGAGGCGTGCTGGCTGTTGATAATGTTTCTTATTGCTCCTCTTCAGCGTGCATCCAGAATGTTTCTGGGAAAGTCGTCTACAAAAATCGTGCTTGCACTTGTCCGGATAGCAAGGAAATGGAAAATAATGCAGATGTAAAGCTGATACCTGAAATGGTCTACATTCTCTGTCCAAGCATCAAGCATATAATCTCTTATCATTTCCGTACGTGAGTATATGTCAGCGACAATGGCTTAGCGCCATGAGGCGCATATTTCAAGTGTTCGAGTAGCTTCGCCGCCTTAATGACTCGTTACAATTTCTTGCGACCAAAAGTTTGCACTGATATTGTCGGAACAGCGTACGTCTTCATCTCCCATGAGCTTGTTGACTTCTTCATTGGCCACATCAAAACATTAGAGCACTCATCAAATGCTATCCCATTGTCTGTCGCCTTGGGCGCAAAATGTCTTAGCTGGTAGGGCTGAACCCTCAAATTTTACGCCCTGCACGATGGGATAGTAGCATTGGTGACGGCGCATTGGCAGGGAACGGCAGTCACTGACTCTCTTTGCGATGTCAATCTTCAGAGGTTAGGGAAGTTGAAAATATCGCATTATAGCCGTGTGTCTTTAGTGAAGAGGCAATTTAGGAACCCTGGGGAGGACGAAGAGGTCTGCGAGGCCAGGTAGATCCTCTAAGGGAATCCCAGTCGAGGGCTTTTTGCACACACGGTCCTGAATGACAGACAAGGCGATCTAGGCAGGAATTGCAGTGAGGATCTGGTGTCATTTTGGAAGGTGAGGATTACGCATTCGCAGCTTGGTGGACAGGGACTCAAGCTAAAGGAATGGCCGGCCAAATGTTTATTGACTGGACAGAAAATCTAGATCGATCCTCGCTCCATAAAAGTATGTCAAAGCTATGAATTGGTCTCGGGAAGCCGTCGTGGACGAACAATGCCAGGACTAGAGGTGCATATTCCTGACTGTCCATGCTACGGTCTATGATGGGTCTGGAACCGAGCCAGTCCAAAAAAGAAGAGCAGATTTAGTGAGATCTAGGTACGTGGCCTCGACCAGCCATTGTGGCAAGCCAATCGACCATGTGACCCGGTGTCTCGAGCCATGACTGATCATGCTGTTTCATGCCAGCCCGTTTCTACATCTGCCTGAGGGACCTCCCATGGAAAATCTCAGCGGACAATTAATTTAAAATTAGGGGGAATCCGAAGCGGATGGCGCTCGAGGCCCAGGTCCATCAACTCTTCCATGATCTAGTCACCGAATCCCTCATGCGGAGCGGTGTTCTCTTCCCTTCATCGATACCAAACCTCACACCCGAGACGGGACAGCATGACTAGAGTGTAGGGTTCGATGGGTCTCAGACGG